CCATCAGACTGACTCTGGTCAGGTCTGCACTGGAAGACTCTTTTCAAGGAGCCAAGACAGGCTTCACACGGTTTCCGTGTCCTCTTCCCTTCCCAGGGACTGGAGTGTGAAGCCAGCTGAGGGGGCAGCGAGCCATCTTCAGCCAGGCAACGACAAAGGCAACAGCTTGGAGGAGGGTAAATCACCGAGCAGAAGGTGCCCGGCTCCAGACTTGGTCAAGCAACCTGACCAAATCCTTGTAATAGATGACTTTCTTAAATCCTTATTCATTTAGTAGTCAATATATTAATCAAATCAGTCTCTGTAAATTCAATATGTATTCATATTGCAGTAAATAATTTTAAGATTTTTTCCCAAAATAAGTATAAGTAAAAGTGACTTTCCAGGCATTGGCACCCAGTATGTAGGGCACCAAAGAAGTGCTAAGGTTTGGTCCTGACTAAAAACCAATCTTGAAATACTTTTGTTTTTTGGTAGAAGTCACAAACCTTTAGAATGTAAATTATTCAAAGAAAAATAAGTGCTGCAAACTCCTTTCTGAACAATCACATCACTGCTGGGTTTGGCAAAGATAAAACAATTTGGAAAGCAAATGTGACCCTTTAGTGTCCTATGACTTTGGGCCCCCTCCAGGGCAGTGTGGCTGGGCGGCTGTTTTTCCAACACACAAAGACACCTTTAAATGTAAAACGTGTTCATACCGTCACCAATACAAAATTATAAAAACTGGCAAATTTTATTAAAAATATTTTAGAAATCTTAAAATATAATTTCAGAAGATCAAAATAAGTCCATTCACCTATTAAGCTCAAACACTTCAGGAAACCACAAAACAATCATTTTACTTCCCCAGGTGGCTACTGATCACTGAGATGGGATGGGCCTTGCGGTGGTCCTTCATGACCAGCTACACCAGCACGGGGGTCCTCAGAAGCCAAGAGAGCTGTGTGAGTTACACGGCACTTACACGCAGGGGTCAGAGTGAGGGTTTCGAGCCGTGGAGATAAACAGAGGTCAGAGGAAGCATAAGATCCAGGAGATCCAGAGTCCAGCGCCAGCCGACAGCCCTGGCCCTTAGGCATCTGAATGGACACCTTGCAGAGGGTCATGTGTCAGCTGCAGGTGACCAGCCCAGCCATCTGCCCACTAACCCAGCTCACCAGACACTAGGGACCAACCATGGCTCTCAGCTGCCAGCTACCCATGAGGCGGGACTTCCAGAGGAAGCCAGACTGGTTAGAGACTAAATAAGCAACTCACGTTTTCTCTTGGTGCCTAAGTTGTAGTGTGAGTTAAATTTTCACCCTGCTACGTCATGTGCAGGCTGGACTTCAAGCCTGGGAATGTTCGGCTTGCTAGGGAAATACCAGGAGACAACATTCAATGTAAAAATCACACACCCCTTCTTTACTTAACCAGTTTATTGAGACGTAATTCACAAACTATACAATTCTTCCATTTTAGTATATTCTCAGGTCTGCCTCTGTCACCATAATCAATTTTAGAACATTTGCATTACCCCCAAAAGAAACTGCCATGAATCTAGTTTCCATCTGCATAGTTAGCTATATGTGGATTTCACGTAAGTAGAATCATGTGATACATGGACCTTTGTGACGTGGTTCTTTTACCTGACATATCTTCAAGGTTCGCCCACATTACGCCATCATTAACTTTCATTCCTTTTAATTGCTGAATAGCATTCCAATTTGTGGATATACCACATTTTGTGTATCCATACCTTAGCTGGCAGTTGTTTGTTTCTCTTGGCTATGAACATCAGCTTAAAAGATGAACATATGTTTTCATTTCTTTGAGTATACCTGAGAGTAACCTTGCAGAGTCACATGGTAACTCTGTTTGAACATTTGAAGAACTGACACTCCAAGGTGGCTGCCCCATTTTTCACTCTCATGAGGACTCCATGAGGACTTTCCTCTGCATTTTCACCAACACTTGTCATCTGTCCTTTTATTGGTAACACGCCATCTCAAACAGCTCTCTAGATCTTTGGACCTGGTCATGGAGTCATCGCTTGGTAGAGAAGAAGGCCACTTGTCAAAGTGCCGAGTGCTCACACCCAGGGGAGAACAGGACAGTGGAGGCCAGCGCGGTCAGTGACTCGGACGAAGCAGAGCAAGCAGCCCTGAGGACCACGAACCAGAAACACACCCTGACTACATCAGGAACAGTTAGGGCCCGACGCGCAGGGCAGACGAGGTGAGCAGGAGTTGAGCATCACTCAGATGCCCTTGAGCAGGACACTGAGCAGAATCTGAGCTCACACTGTCATGTTCCCTCCCTCCTCACCTGGCATTCTGTGCCCAAGGGGCACATGCTGACACGCATGGGCTCTGGCCCACCTTAAGGGTTCTATCATTCCCCAACTTCTTCCTGAAGTGTGTTAGATCGAGTGTGCAGAGCAGCCCTGTATCAGCCAGCTTTCCACATCTGTGACAAAATGCCTGGAATAACTGACTTGATAAAGGAGCTAGGCTGGATGGCACGCACTTGTGATGCCAGCACTCAGGGAGGCTGAGGCAGGAGGATCCCAGCTGGGAAAATTAACAACTTAGTAAGTGTTACGGTTGATACATTGTGTCAACTTGTGCAGTTTACAAGCTTAACTAGGAGACTCAGAAATGAGCCAGGGTTCTTATGTTGTAAATACCCTCAGCCTGTGCAACAGGAGGGCAAGGAGATTTTGTGAGTGCTACACCAGCCCTGGAGAGGGGGTGGCCTGTGTACAGTATAAAGGAAGAAAAGAGGCTTGCTCTCCCGTTTTGCTCTGGCTGCTTTTGCAGGCTGCTACCTTTAAGTGTTGCCCCAGTGCCATGTCACCCTGCGTTGGAGCCAGCTGATTATGGACTGAAACCTCCACAGACAGTCAGCTAAATAAACTTTTCTTTCCTTGGTTTTGGGTGTTGGGTGTTTTGTCTCAGCAATGAGAGAAAAGTAACCAAGACAGTGAGATTCTGTCTGAAAATAAAAATAGGTAAATAAAAGGGTGATGCTGAGGGTGTAACTTAGTGTAAAGGTCCTGGGTTTGAGCCCTACAGTGAGTTGGGTCTGCTGTGGGCCTCCCAGTAGCCTAGCAGCAAAAGGGAAAAAGGGGTCAGATCCCCTGGCCCCTTTAAGACCACGCCCCTAACCTGCTTTCCACTAGGCCCCGCCCCTTAAAGGGCCAGCACTTCCTCACAGTGCCATGGTCCACGGACACTTCAGATATCACAGCAATCTTTTTTATCAGTAGAAGATTTTATCAGAAAAAAAATCGGTTGATATATTTTCAAAACATTGTATTATCAACGCTTTCTGTGGCATGTTATAATATTATAACTCTGTCTATCTGTAGCATAGTGTTTCCTGGAAGCCACTAAGTTTTTGAAAGTCCACCTAAGAGAGAAAGTAAATACTGTTAAAATAGGAGAAGTACAGTTTATCCCCTTCAAAAGTACACTGACTACTTACTTAACAAGTTAGAGAGCTGTGTGGCTTCATTCTTGCAAATTGTACCATGGAATAAAATGATGTCATTATATTGCAATCCCATCACCACATCTAAAAATACGGGAAAAGATAAACTAGAGTGATGGGGATTCAAAATAAGGAGGGGCAAATCTAAACAAAACACAACCCAAATTAGAAGACACTCGAAGGGTAGGACCGCCCACTCGTGTTTACCGTGGATGGAAACCGCAAGTATTGTGCGGCACTTCCTGGTCTCCAGAAGTCTCTGATCCTTCAATTCAACAGCTCTTTCTTGTGAATGTGCTGAACCGAAAACTCTGCTGATCCCTGCAGCTTCCAACAGGGAAAGATGAGGCTCTGCCAGCACCGAGGGCTTGGCTCTGCCCAGAAGTGCAAGCTTACTGTCCAGCCGCAATGCCCAGAGCCCACTCCACAGCTGTGATGGGACAGAGCGGCAAGAGAGGGAGGGAAGAAGACAGGCAGGCCGCAGACCCCGAGGAGGAGTGGCGGGGGACTGCAGGGAAGATCTGTGCTATGAGCTCAGTGTCTTAACCCCCTAGCAGGATTCCGCCAAGCAGAGGCAGGCAGGTACACCTGTAAACAAGATGCAGTGTGAAAACAAAGGCTTTCAGGTTTATCAAATTTCACCATCTGAAACTGTCCATCGTCTGCCATTGTTGGGCCTCCAAAAAATAGCTCAGTCTAGGTCAAAGAATTCCTAGGAGTGCCTAAAGCTAACCTTTAGGACTTGTAAGAAAATTAGGGTAGTCAGGGTCAGGGCAAGAAGAGTCTTGAACTGGTTTCAACTTCATGATAAAGAAGATGATTTATTAAAAGATCTTGGACAAGTAACCAAACAACATATATTTAAATGTTTAAAGGATTTCAAATTTAATAGAAAGATTTATTTATTTACTTTGGTTTCAGAGAAAGAACTCATGACCTTGCATTTACCATGCAAGTGCTTAAGCCACTGAGCTAAATCCCCAGCTCAATCTATCATTTTTTATCAATGAAAAGAATGTAATGATATTTAATGTTAACAAGAATTCCAGGACTCAGAATACTCGCCTACACTGCTGGGTATGGAAGTCAGAGAAGATGCTGGGGAAGGTAATTTAACCAAGCATTCTAATGGATTAAGGACTTTATTGCAAGGAACTGCCATGGATATTAAGAAAAAGTTTAGATAACAGGATATGTTTAATGTCTCACAGCAGGGAGTTGGTTAAATAAATCATGAGTCATCCTTACTGCTTTTAAATATGTGAGTGAATACTTAAAGACACAGAAATGTTGATGAAAATTTCATTACATGAAAAAAATTGGGCTTATTAGGGCGCTTGAGAACAAGGTCAGACTGACTCGGTTTGACTTTCAGAACCACCTCTTAGTTAGGTGGCCCAGGCGGAACAGCCTCATCTTTCCCAGCTCAGTCTTGGCATCTGTAAAACAGGGGCAGTACCAGTCCCGGCCTCAGGGGCTGCTGTCACAGGGAATACACAGAAGGCATTCAGCCTCACCGGGGGCGGGGAAAGCACGCAGAGCCAGTGACTGCTAATGGCCTTGGCATTTGCTGCCAGCGCATGAGGTCAACTCTGAAGCTAATTTAAGAGGCAAAGGTGGGAAGGGAAGCGGCCGGCAGGGCCGCACCCGACGCATTCCTCGGAGCCGCCCGAGGTCGCCGCCCAGCTGCCAGGCTCCGAGCAGCACTGCTGAGTCCTCGGCGCGGGCCTCGCGGAACAGCTGCCTGTCCTGCCCGGAAGCCGGATGCAGCTGCCACCGCTGCTGTGCCCTGGCCAGGGCAGGCTCTGGGTCATCCTGCGGCCTTGAGTCATCAGCTCCCGAATCCAGGTCCGGAGAGGATGCATCTGCTGCGGCTCCAAGGTCCGAGCGCCCAGCAGCAGCAGGAGGGCCGAGAACAAGAGCTGCAAGTGCTTTTATCACTCAGGGAAACAGAGGGCAGATTCTACAGCCCTGAGAGCCCACAGACTGAGGGATCGCATTTACACACAGGGCAGCAGGTACAAAAACAGACAGAAATGAGCCCTTGATGCTGTAAGACAACACAAAGGTCACCAATGTGTCCATTTCCATGTCAAGAAAGAGTTAAAAAACGTATTAGAGTGTTAATGGTCAACTCTGAACTGACCATCAAGGCTGATTTGAATGTTTCCACTTCTTTCTGTAACTATCCAAATTTTTGCTGGTATAGAAAAAGCCTTTTTAGAGCAGTCCTGGCCAATATCGGGTCTTTCGTTGAAAGAGAAGCGGATGGCCATGCTCAGATGGCTGTCGCTAGCCTGGAGTCCAAGCTCTGCAAGGTGCTAAGCCCTTTACAAAGGCAGGATCCCGGCACCTCATCCTGAGAGCGAGGCTGCTGATAAGCATGTGCTAAAGCAGGTAGGAGGCCTCTGTTGGTACCAGCCAAAAACAGCGGAGATTTGGACCCGGCTTCTTCGACAGCTTTATCTGTTTTCAAACAGCTACTTTTCTTTCTTTTCTAGTATATCCTACCAAAGCAGAATAGAAAGAGAGAGAAGAGAGTGCACATGGAGCAGAGAAAGAAGTACAGAATTCTCAGTTCTTTCACAGAGGTAATTCTATGTGTATTCACATTTATCTTTAGCCACACAGAATTTTAAAAATAAGCCATTTGAACATTTTGCGTAGCTAAATACTTCTTCTAAAGTATTACAGCTTTAAGGAAATGTTTTTTTAAAAAACCTCAAAATCATTATGTTAATAAATTTATATTTAGGCCAAGGTGAGTAACAATAAAAGGACCTGATAATTTATTTTAAAGACATGAGCAATAGTTTTGAGATGCAGTCACTGAATAATGACTAGTTCTGAAAGCGTAATTGTAAGCCTTCCTCTCTTTCAATGCTATAATTAAAACAAAAATGAAAGTAAGTCTAGAGAGCAAAGGAAACCTGAGTCACACCGGGATTTATAATCGTCTTTTCTACGTCTAGGAGACCAAAGTCTCCGCTTATCTGCTAACAATTAAAAGGACAAACTAATGATTTTTTTTTTAAGACATAGGCAACGAAGTCAGGTTAAATGCTGATTCTGGAAAGAGTTGTGGACTTCAGCTCTGTGCTAATCCAGAGTGCTTTACTGCTTGCCGAGCTCTTGGACTACTTTGACCTCACTGGAACCCCCACTGACCCATTCATGCCACCATTTTGAATTTGCAAATGAAGAAGCTCAGTATTCGGAAGGGCAGGAGGCCAACCGAAGCCGTCCACCTATCCAGCTGGTGCCAGAGCAGAACCGGCCCCCCACTTCCTAGTCCGGCTTTTTGTATAGTTCTGATGCATGCTCTTTTCTGGATATAACTGGAGGGAAAAGTTTTTCCCATATGGGAATTATCCAGACCAAAGGTAGAGAGCATTGACTATGGAAAGATACCAGCATGGGACTAATGGTCTTATGGTAAACACTGCCGTCCCCATCTAACATTGGAGAGAACAAAACACAGAGGTTTATTCTGAGTCCCTGGGTGGTTTCCCATGTAGCTCACTATGGTCCTTTGGTCTGCTCCCCTGTATGCCCCACTCGATCTCCTGGCCTCCTCCTGTCCTATGTCCCCTCCACCAGACAGTGGGCAGGGCAGAAAGACAAACACCTGTAACTGATTTGTTTAAAAAGCTGAAAGAAGGAAACTTGGGTCATTATCTCAATGTAGACTTTGGGGTGTCGGTAGACATGTTTCTCATCACTGAAACACGAAACCTGACAGGACACCTGAAACTTAAAGGATACTTAAGGCTCAGCTTGCAGCTTCGGGTTTCTAAAAGAAACAGGCATAGGGGGGAGGGGAAGTTGCTCGCCTCAAGGTGGACAGGAAGCAGCAGGAGGCAAAGGAGCAGTGACCACATCTTAACAGCAAGCCAGCTACCGAGGCCCTAAAGTCCAGGCACTGTCCAAGCCCAGCAGGGTTTGCAGGCCAGTTCAGATCGAAACCCTAACAGCAGAGGCTGGTGTTTAAGGTGACCTTTGCCACTGTCCTCCTAGGTAACCCAGACAGACAATGGAGTAATACGGTATCAGGACAGGAGAAGAGAGTTTCGTTATGCTTCTGTTAACTTCTATGGCTGGCTTTTCTGAATGATCAGTATGAAATGTTAAACATTTAAAACATAAACTCTGAAAAGCATGCGGGAAAATAGGCAGTGAACAGGAATGGCAATTCACAGAGGAGGCAAGAACAGGCTTAGAAGGTGTAGGAAAGAGTTCCACCTCACTGGCCAACGACCTTTCATTATCAAATTAATATTAAGAATATTAAGAATAAGAGTGATTGCTAACAGGATACTAAGGCAGGCATCCTCATATAATTTTAGTGGGAAAGCAACTTGATACTATCTCTTTAGAGAGAAATCTAATTACAGACAGAGATTATTCCTGACAAAAGGAAGTCAGGGGCTGGGGATTTAGCTCAGCGGCACAAGCACCTGTCTGGCAAGTGCAAGGTTATGAGTTCAGTCCCCGGTACCAAAAAGAAAAGAAAATCAGTCATTTCCTACTGCCTCGGTTGGAACTAAAATCTACTTCTTTTTTCTCTAATAAGTAAGTCTTTACCTTGAGAATGCAGACTCGGTGATGTACAACAGAACAAAATCAAATTTTTTGCCACCTCCTGTCCTCTGCCAACTCTGTGGGTTAGAAGACCAGGGTTCCACTCCAGGGGCAGCAGAGGCTCACTCTCATTCCTAGGAGGCAAAGGCAGGGCATATGCTGATGGCCTCGAGAAGGTCTCCCAACATCACAGCATCCTGCTAGACCAGCTAGGAGAGAGAGAGGCTCCCCTCCAGGACTCAGAGAGAAGATACTGTGCGGATAGCATCTTCCTGGGTCACACCCACTATGCCCCAGCACACACCTTCCAATGATAGTGCTAGAAGCCCAGCATGGTCTAACCTCCTAGAGACCGAGTTCAACATTTGTCCCTACATTAAAACTATTGCAGAGATAGAGCCATTTGATCTTGCTTATAATTTAAAGCTTGTAATTCCAGAGAGTCTAGTAGCAAAAAGGAGCCTCATTCTCAATTCACTTTGAAAGTCTAGGCTCCACCTAAAAGAGATTTTTCTAAATGCTTGGTAACTACATGGTCACTGTAATTCATAATAAGGAGACACTGAGAAGGACCAGAACACCTAACCAAGAGTGTGCTAGGGTGATCACCAGGGGCCAAAGGGAAGTTGCTCATCGAGAACAGTTTCAGTTTTGCAAGATGAGAACATCCCAGAGCTCTATTGCACAAGGTGCACAAAGATAGCACTGTTGCGCCCTGCGCCTGACTACGGAGCAGAGGGCCAGGCCAGGGCGTGCGCACCCACTGGCCAGGCCACCCTTCCCATGGAACATGCGCCACCCGTGACAGGATGTGAAGACGCAGATTACAGAGACTCTGGTTATAGATAAACAGGCGCCACCCTGTCTTCCCCACGAGTGTGGATGGAAAATGGACCTGATACAGGAAGCGGCGATTTGAGTGCTCTAAAAATGGGGAGGATTTGATCTCTAGCACAAAAAAAAGACAAGTTCATCCACAGCACAAACAGGGGTGACGATGATGGTGGTGGTGGTGGTGGTGATGACGGTGACCATGAGGATGGTGATGGTGTTGATACTTAAAGGCAAGCAAGTGAACCAGCAGCAAGCAGGTGACGGAATGACGTCTAACCCTGGAGTCTCCGGGTTCCTTTCCTTGTGGGCCCCTGGCCACCTGGAACCTGTAGCCAGAACCAGAAAAAGACAAAGAACCCTCCGGGTGAACGAAGTCTCCTAGTTCTTGCTTGAGGAGCAATAAAAGAGATCCCTAGGGGCAGAATTTTTTAAAAACAGGGGGAAGTGTCTGTTTCCTCCTTTCTTTTCTTCTTCCCCAATTCCTGGGGCGGCAGCACGGAGCCCTGGAGCAACAAGGGGGTCACTGAGAAGCAAGCCAGTTCAGGGGGCAGCGAAGGGCATCCCAGTGTCACCCTGACAGTGGCCGGCTGTGGCGATCTGCCTGCCCACACCCCAAGTGGACCCGAACGCACAGCAGGAGATGTAAATCTAGACTCAGGGGAGGCCTGTGCCGGTGTGGGATTTTTTTTCCAGCACCCTCTGCCTTTAGAAACTATTTGAGGCTCCATAGGGTCTGTATTCTCCTTGCACTGAAGCATCTCCAGTTTCTGGGATTTGCTTGCAGTGTTCTCTAGCTCGATCTGCGGCATTGACATGCGAGGTCAGGAGGATTCTGAGGGAGGAGGCTCTGCCATCCGGGAAAGAAAACGCAATCTGAAAGAAAACGCAAAGCAGATTGCGATTGCGGCCCAATCCACCAAAATAATTTGAAACACTTGGTGTTCCTTCACACACGTGCGCTGAAACTTTTATATCATGAGTTTCTCAGTGGCAAAGGATGCGTTTGTTTTCTGGTTTGCTACAACTTTTGACACTTAAAATTAAACTATTAGAGCACTCTTAACCATAATCAAGAGAATGCCAGCACCATAGAAATAGCACACCATCATTCATTTTTTAAAAATATTTTTTAAAACTCTTTATGGTCAGAAATTTGACATCATTTCCTTTTTTTCCTTGAACTCCTATGTCCATACCACTTTCCCAGAAAAATGATATCCTGTTATGCTGTACGTTGGTCCTTGAAAATACGTTATTGATCACTCTATCAAGATTCTTTGCATTAAGATATGCACATTAACTGATTTTCTGATTCTATAATGTGATGGATTTTCTTTTCACATGCAGCTGTTATTACATCATTATAGGAACAAAATTGATCAACCAGCATACACAGCCTATTTAGATGAATGTACATAAGATTAGGATTTTTCCAGGCATGGTTGTACAGCTCCTTAATCCCAGCACTCTGGTGACTAAGACAGGAGGATCACATCAAGCCCAGCCCGGGTAACTCAGAGACAGTAAGACTGGGCTCAAAATTTTTTTAAAAAGTAACTTAAAAGAAGGAGGAGGAGGAGGCTGGGGAATATAGCTCAGTGTTAAAGCCTCGGGTTCAATCCCCAGTTTAAAAAAAAAATCATTTTAAATGCATCTTATAATGAGAGAGCAGGGTCTTTTTCAAACAGCTTAGGTATCTATCAGTTAATATTAATTATTGTTACAATTAGGCTCCCACTTTATTCCCTTTTTAAAAATATTCACACCAATGAGCAGATGGAACGTGGAGAAGTTGTATCTCACCAGTGTCCAGCGGTGCCTTAAACACCTTCAGAGCTGCCTGAGTAAAATCACGCAGAACAGTATCATCAAAACCGCGGTGCTGATGAATCACCAGTTGACCACTCAGTTAGAACTCCTGCTTTGATTCGCTCAAGAGAACTGAAAACTTCCTGCATAGCTGAACACCTTGTCACCCAATCAGTATGATTCCCCCGCTCGGCCCCTGCACCAATAATTTGAATTATCTTTTGGTCTGGACTTCAGCATCTCCCATCGTGCTGCCAAATACCTTGGGTCCCAGCGTTGGGTGGTGGAGGAAGTGCCTGCAGGGAGAGGTGGGAGCAGAGCATGGGCGCGGGGCGGTCAGTGCCAAGGGGAGGCTGAGTTAGGCAAA